CGGCCAGAAGAGAGTATCACATCCCCTGGAACTGGAACTGGAGTTATGAATGGTTGTTAGCCACCATGTGGGTGCTGGGAACCAAACCCAGGTCTTCTGGAAGAGCAGCCAGTGGTCTTAACTGCTGAGCCATATCTCCAGCCCCACCATCTTGCTTTTTGAGACAGGCTCCTTCGCTGGTGTGGGGCTTGTCAGTTCAGCTAGGCTGGCTGGCCAGTGAGCCACAGGAATTGGCCTGTCTCTACCTTCCTAGCTCTAGGATTATAAGTGTATATGACCACCAGGCATGGTGGCCCACACTTTTAATTCCAGCATTTGAGAGGCAGAGGAAGGCAGATCTCTGTGAGTTCGTGGCCAGCCTGGTCTACATAGTGAGTTCCAGGCCAGCTGAGGCTACAGAAAGACCCTATCTCAAAAAAAAGGCCAAAAAGAAAAAAAATGAAAAAAGAAAGAAAGAAAGAAAGAAAGGAAAGAAATAAGAAAGAAATAAGAAAGAAAGAAAGAAATAAGAAAGAAAGAAAGAAAGAAAGAAAGAAAGAAAGAAAGAAAGAAAGAAAGAAAGAAAGAAAAAGGAAAGTGTATATTACCACACTGGTTCTTCTACATGGGTCCTGGGAAGACTGAACTCAGGTCCTCATGCTCACAAGGCTAGCTCTTTACCAACTCCCCAGCCCAGGTTTGGTTGAGTATCAATCTGATGTGGTCTTCAAGGCTCTTTTGTTCCTTTAGTACCTAGAGAAGATAACTGAGGCTAAGGGGACTCTAGGGTTCCCTTCTCTATGCGGAACTGGCCTGGGCTTCAGGCCCCAGGTGTTCAGGGTCTTGGCACCTGCCCTCAGCCCTGGAAGTCCGTGCTTCCTGTTCCACTCCATGTTCTGTCCACAAATGAGAATGGCAGTGGGCTGGAGTTGGGCTAGAATCAGGCCTTTTGGAAAGTTGAGTTCCTATTTTCCAGCTGAGGCTAGATCTACCCTTTCTGATCATCCTTCTCATACAGAGGGGCCAGGACTTCCTGGGTTGGGCAGGCAGGAGCTGAGTACCTTAAACACTGTGAAATTGCTTTCTAGTATCTGAAGCAGGATGATTAGGCCTCTGGATATAAAAGGAGGAAGTTTGCCAATTTAAGTGACCATTAAAACCTAAGGCTAAGTTGGCTTTTCTCTCCCTCCTGAAGGCATAGGTGCCTCTGTCTTCTTTTTATTTATCTATTAATTAATTTATATTATTGCTGTGTGTATTTGATGAGGGCAGGGCACATGCTTGCCATGGCACACTTGTGGAGGTCAGAGGACAACTTTTGGGAGTAGTTTTTTTCTTCTACCTTTATATGAGATCCAGGGATGGAGCTTAAGTCAGGCTTATGTGGTAAGCACTGTACTCGCCAAGCCCAAGTGCCTCTGTGTTCTACACCTATTCCATCCACAGATCCATTCTAATTTGTGAGATCATGACAATTATAAAGGGGTGGGCCCTCTATGTGGCATGCAAACATCTAGCCAGGAAATCACCTCTTCTGGTTGGCCCCTGCAACTAGGCCTACCCTCTGTCCAGCTCCCACAGTTCCCAAGTCTTCAGCACCCTTCCCATCCTTGGTCTGCCTTATACTAATACCATCTACCTGAAATGACAGTCCTCATTCCTGAAAATTTAGCCTCCCACAGTCCAGGGCCTGGGCCAGGCAGTTTATAGCTCATTGTACCTCAAGACTTATTGGACAGATAGTGTTATTTTCCCCCACCATGTGACTTTCCCAGGGGCAGACTAGCCTCCAGCCTCTTTCAACCCCCAAACCAGAGACTCCTTACCCTCATTCTATGTCTGTCCAAATGGTGCTTCATCACTTATTCACTCAAATAACTTTAACTGAGTACTAACTGTGCCAGGCACTCAGACCAGGCGAGTCAAGGCTATCATTTGTCATATTCCCAAACACGTCTATCCTCCCTGCATTTCTGAATATAAGTAAGGAAAAGCCCCCTCCCCCCTTCTGTATACCTAACTGTAGAAGCTCACTTTGAGCAGATTTCTGTTCAGTTGCTTTCTGCCATGTCAGAACCCTGTCCCTGGAGAATTAGCTCAAGTTCAACACCTCCCCGTCAATACTTCCTCCCTTGTCACCTTGTTCACCTGCAGGAGCAATAGTGAGCTCCATTGTTCTGTAATCAGGTGGTATCTCCTCTTCTGCTCCTCTCCATGCCAACCGCATGAACTCTAAATAAGCAGCCCAGTTTTTAAACATTATTTACAATGCTGGAAACTAAGCCCAGGGCTAAAGCATGCTAGGCAAATGCTCTACCACTGAGCTGTTCCCTAGCTCCAAATTACTTGTCTCTAAGCTTTCTTGAGCTGTCAGCTTAGGAGGTTAAACTATTAAAAGAAAAATAGAGCCCTAAGAGTATCACGCTAGTCAGTGATATACATGTAGAGGAATGTGAGGCTCTGCAGAGGATGGAGTGGGCTGTCCTGGGTCATCTGCGGACAGTGGCAGGTCTGCCAGGGCTGGGAAGCAGTGTCTGGCAGAGAGTGGCCCTCCTCTTGCTGTAAGCACCTGATAGTTGTGGGATAGCTGTCCAGCTGTAGGGAAGTACACTGAGTACTCTTTCTGGTAGGTTTGAGGTCGCAGGACCCTGGCAGTGAGGTCAAGGGTCTCTAGAGGAAAACTTGCTCTGGTGGCTATGAACTGGGCCCTCCAGGTGGAGTTAGCCTGGACTGTGCCATTGTGGGCTGATGCATCCAAGGGGTCTGTGCTAGGGGTATCTAGGTGACCAGCTATGCTTGTGCATGGGTCAGGAACATACTGGAAGCAGTGGGGAGTCTGCTATTGAATCAGTCCCCCCATCTTCCAGGTGTGAAGACTGAGCCACTGTAAGAGATGAAATCAGTCCCTCTGGCTGGCCCTCGGAGTGGTGATCTGGCCAGAATTGAAAGAGAAGGAAGCCATGTAGATCCAGCAGTCAAGGATTTTGATTGGGCTGGGGGTGGGCCATTCAGGAAAGCCTTGCCTCTGGGAATCCTGGATCTGTGGCTGGAGGTGGAGACCATAGCACCCTACTGTTTTCAGTGTCTCAACTGGAAAACCCCTTTGGGAGCAGGTGGGGCCCTGAGGACCTGGGGGGATGTTCAGCAGCTGCTTTCTGATCTAGTCAGCAGGTGTTCTTTCCTGGGGAAGTGTCCCTTCCGCTCCAGTTGGCTCCTCAAAGGAATCTGGAGACTACCCAGCAACCTCTATTGGAACACAGCATGCTAAGAGCTCCTGTACCAAGTCAAGCGCTATGCCCAAATTCTGCTGCTTCAGCTCTCTGGGTGTTTCTGGGATTCACTAATGTTGGAAAGCTCTGCCTTAGCCTCACTGGTCCCAAAGGCATCTTCCAGCATCACAGAGAGCAGAGCTCAAAGTGAGGGACTGTTGGGGGATGCACAAGAAGAAGACACACAAGGTCCCTGTGCTCAGCTGATCCTGCAAAGGGATCATGGGGCACCTCAGCAGCAAAGATCCAGGCCACAAGCAGACATGCACAAATAAGGGTACCTTTTAGTAACTGTGTCTTTAAGGGCTTCCATTTGCACTGTTTTACTTAGTGATCAAAACAGAGAGGAAGGGCTGGAGATATTCTTCAGCTGGTAGAGTACTTGCTTAGCATGCACAAAGCCCTAGGTTCTATCCCCAGCACCATACAAACTGTGTGGTGGAGCATGCCTATAATCCTATCAGAGATAGAGGCAGGAGCATCAGAAGTTCAAGCTCATCCTTTGCTACATAATGAGTTCAAGTCCAGCTTGGACTACATGAGACCCTCAAAGATGGAAAGCAGCCTGCTCAAGGTCACATAGCTAACAAATGGTTGAACTCAAATTCATATACAGCTCTAAGTGAGCTACCAGCTAACCCAGCACTCTTTGTGAATTCAGAGCAGGGAAAATTATTGGGGGCTGTAGGAGTGGTAAGTGCCTTAAAATTACCCAAAAGTAATTGTTGGACCTTCAAGAAGGGGGAGTTGTGTGGGGCAAGGGCAAGTTAAATCTCAGATAGAGGTAATAGATGAAGTGCAAAGGGTCATAGGTTAGGGCATGGAAGGAGTTTAGTAGAAAGTCAGTCTCCATATTGGCCTATGCTAGACTTCAGATTCCACAACTAGCCCTGCCCGCAGAAGGTTTTGCTCTATCTAGAAACAGACATAGGGAGCCACAAGTCAGAATGGTACAGACCCTGTTCCAGATGTTGTTCCTTAGAGAGCCCACAGCCTGGGACAATTGTATGCTATGCTTATCAGAGGGCCAGGGTGACTTGAAGCCACCAGACTCAGGGATTGCTAGTTTTCTAACAGGTTGAAGATAATCAGGTATGCTTATCCATAAGCCTGAGCATAGCATGATTCCCTTTGACAACTATAGAAGTTTCTAGAACTCTCGGTTGCCAATGTAGCCCTTCAAAATCAGCTGAAAGCTGGGGGCAATAGGCAAATACTCATGTGTCTCTAGCCATCATCCAAGTTGTCTTCTGTTTATGGGTCTGTCTGTCTGTCTGTCATCTTTATGCTATAGGAACTGTTTGGCAAGATGTCAGAGAAGCCTCTATCAGCACAAAATGCTGAATTATCACTGAGCCAGTTACAATCATCTTGATTAGGATGAATTACCTCAAGAAATAGATCAATTGCCACTTTCTGCTGCCATTATGCTTAGCTTTGTACAGACTCTCAAGGCCTTCCCCTTACCGCCCCCCACCTCTCCCCATTGTATTGGATGACATTTATTCATTTCATGCATCCTGGGTTTGGCTGGCCATCCTGCCTCTGTTCCTGTAGCAAAGGCACTGGAGTCTGAGCCACTAATTACCACCATGGAGTTTTCCTCCCAAACAGGAAGTCTCCTGTTCTCAGGGCACTCTAACTGAGCATCAGTCACCCCTCCTGGACCAGTCCTGTGGCCAGCTGTAGGCGGGCTGACTGAGCAGGGAGGTGTTTGGGTTGCTCACGCCCCTGGAGGGCCTCTGGCAGGCCCCTGACGTTTCAAAAGCCACAATCAGGCTGGAAGGGCAGGTGGAGACAGGCAGAAGAGGGGCCGGCTGGCAGTGGGGTTGTCAAAGGACTCTAGAATTTCTGACCCTAACATTGACCAGATGTCGTGCCCGCCTGTTGCCGGTAAGTAAGTTCAGTTAGAGCTTCTACCCCAAGTGATGTGTCAGCCTTTCCCACCAGTACTCCAACTCCTGGCCCACCCACTGCAGTGTGTTGGGCAGTTCACCCAGTGTCCGCCCCAGGCTGCTCAGCCTGAGGCTGCTGCAAAGGGCGGGATAGAACGAGGTGTTGACAAAAAGTGGGAGATTGTCAGTTGTGCACATCTTGTGACCGCCACCCCCCAAAGAAGGGGAGTGCACCCCTTCAGAGTGAAGGGCACCCAGTTTTCCTGCATAGAGAGAGAAGCAGCTTTGTGGATTCTGGTGTGTGTCGTTTGAAGAAAAAAAAAAGTTAATGTTCATGTTGTATTTCTGAGGAATGTGAGCCTGTTGGGGATTATAAATTTTACTTAATTGGTAACCATTTCTGCAACGGTTTATCACAGAACTGCTGGCTGCAAGTAATCGAACTGAATTTTTCTAGAAGGATTCAAAAAGCTAGATGTTTGTAAAAGCCCTATCAATTATTCATTCACTTTTATTTTGCAAAGTGATGTGGGGAGAAAATTCTGTTCTGTTCGACC